TTATTGTATAAAATAATAGAAATGAATTTTGTAGATTCAAAATCAAAGTTTGTTTTTTTTCACAATAGATATCCTAAAGCAAATGATTACTTTTTAATTACACAAACTTTGCTCAAAGCATTAAATATTTCAACAACAGATGCAAATGCAGCTGTAAGAAAATATTTGTTCTTATAATTTTCTCGAACAAATTATTCATAGAATGAATGGCGAGGAGCAGTAAAACAAAAGTTCAAAAATGAACGTCGACTTTTACAAAACACATCTGCAGTAGTCCAGAAAAAAAAAGAAAAATTTGGAAAAGGTTCTGGACGCTTTGCAAAAAAAAGTGAAGCACTATCTGCTGAACGAAAATCTGATAAAATGGTCAGTTGAATTTTAATTCTAAAATTAGCATACAAAATAATGCTCTTCATTGTTTTAGATTTATGTTAGTACTGTTATGGATGAAAGTGATGTTGAACAATTAATCATAACAATGAACGAAGGTATTGAAAATGAAATAATACATAACGACGAATTAATTACATTATGGAAGAAAACGTTTGGTTATCGTCGGTCATTCATTCGTTCACACACGATTAATGAAATACTAGATAAATTTCCTGGTTATTCATATACACATTTCGTAAGTTTATTTTAAAAATATGTTTTTCTCTCAGAATTTTATCATCTTTATTTCTTAGATATTTGAAGAAGTCAAAATGATCGAAAACATTGATATTGAACAGAATGTAAATGAAATATTACCACGTTTATTCGATAAATTACCGAATAATTCATTATTTGTTATGGGTGAGTAAGATTTAAAAAGTTAAAAAATTAAGTATGGTCTTCTGTTAATATGATCGATAAAAGATTTATATATATATGAAAATTAATTATTTCAAGAGAATCTTTATTGCTAAACTTTTGTCTTTAATCGATATGATCTTATTTATTAATGAAGAATAACAACAGTTGAATCAGAGCAACAAAAAATCTTTATTCATATTTCATATTTTTATTATGTTTAGATTTGTTACCAATTCGTGTAATAAAATTATTATGTAAACAATTTAATCAATCCATCAGTCATATATTAGTTGATAATGTAAGATTTAGTTTTAGGATTAAACTATTCATTTATTTTTACCAATACCATTTTCTTTTCTTTTCTATTGTATACTTTGTGTAGGAGCCAATTGTTCCATCACCCTGTATTAAAGTTATAAATGAAAAATTTCAATTATATCTCGATTGGAAATTAATTATAAGAACAACAAGTCCTACAACAGCATTAGCATTATTATTATCGTTATATAATGTATTTGCAATTAAGTTTGCTAAAAACAATCATACTTCTCATTTACTATATGGTGTATTTTTTCAAAATGGAGATGAACTTGGTAAAAATCTACGAATTATATTAAATTCATGGTATTTCACATTCGAAGATCGAATAAAACATTCTCAAATTCAAGCAACAAACGTTATCGATTCTGTCAATATGCCATCCACATCGAATTTACAGATTCATTCTACATCAGCAACAACGACAGAAATTATTCAATCATCTATAATATTAAACAATAAAGAAAATCAATCACCTACATCACCACAATCAATTCCATTAATACTAGACGAACAAGAAGAACAACAACCGTCTGATAATCCATTAATGCAAGAGCATGAACCTGAACAAATGGATATTGCTATTGAGACACCATCAATCTCGTCCATATCTTCAAGAATCAAAGCAAAATCTAACACAAAAACAAAATCTCGTACTTCTCCGAATTCTCAAAATGCAGCATTGAGAGATGCGACAAACAAAGAAGAAACATCAACTGCATTAGCCAAGAACAAAAAAAGAAAACTGCCACCATCACCACAACAACAACAACGAAAACAATCATCACGTTTAATAGCTAAAAGAAGTCGACAAGACGATTCTTCTTTTTAAATTTAATTCAGACAAACTTTTTGTCTAAACTTTATCTTTTTTCTGCATTTTTCTTCTCACTCTTATTATCTTTTGTTACATGTTAAAAAGGTCAATTCGTTAATTATGACTATGTTCAAACTTTGACTTTTTATATTAAGCTACAAATACATTCAGTAAATTCTACAAAGAGCATTATAAGCAATACGATGCATTTAACAATTTACACTGATACACGAAAATTATCTTCTTTAGTTTTTGTTATCTATTCTTTCAAATAAAAAAAACAGCAAAAAACAAGCAGCTACAACAGTTCGCATGTCTAAATACTACTCAACAAACGAACAGATCCATAAATTTTTAACACGACTGATTGAAAACGTCATTTTCGACGACTTATTCTTATGAAAACTATTTCTCACAAAATCAGTGTAACTGATTCTTTAAATTCTAAACCTATTCATTTTACTCATGACGTTTATATTCACTTATAATTAAACCATGAAACATACTACTTAAATGAATCATTACTTTTCTTTTTAATCTTTTTTTCGATGGAAGCTAAGTAAACATTTGACTTGTAAGTTTATAACTACTTTATCACCTATATATTTATTTCGTTATTCTTTTTCTTTAGGTTGATGCTGATGAAGCGTTGAATGGTAAGATATAATATTAAATTAATAATTACTTGACTTTTTTATCTTTATTTAGATCGAAGCTAAACAAACATTTTAACCGTAAGTTTATAATTTACTGATCAACTATTTATTCATTTTATTATTTTTTTTTGTAGATTGATGTTCATCAAACGCTTTATAGTAAGACATAGTTCTTAAATCAATTGTTACTTTTCTATTCAATTTTCATTTAGATGGAAGCTAAGCAAGAATTTCAATCGTAAGTTTATAACTAATTCATCAACCATTTATTTGTTCTTTTACTCTTTTTCTTTAGATTAGTGTTGATAAAGTGCTTTATGGTAAGACATAGCTCTTAAATTAACAATTACTTTTCTTTTTCATTTTCATTTAGGTATAACCAAAACAAACATTTTAATGGTAAATATATAACTAATTAACCGATTATTTATGTATTTTGTTATTGTTTTTCTTTAGGTTGATCTTGATGAAGCGCTTTATGGTAAGATACAGTTCTTAAATTAATTATTACTTTTCTTTTTTTTGTCTTTATTTAGATGGAATTTAAACAAACATTTTAAGGGTAAGTTTATAACTAATTCATCAACTATTTATTTGTTTTATTATTCTTTTTCTTTAGGTTGATGTTCATCATGCGTTTTATGGTAAGACATACTTTTTAAATTAATTATTACTTTTCTTTTCAATTTTTATTTAGATGGAACCTAGACAAATATTTTAATAGTAAATATATAACTAATTAAATCGGCTATTTATTTATTTTGTTATTGTTTTTCTTTCGGTTCATCTTGATGAAGCGTTTAACGGTAAGATGTAATATTAAATTAATTATCACTTTTCTTTCTTTTGTCTTTATTTAGATGAAATCTACACAAACGATTTAATGGTAAGTTTATAACTAATTTGATCAACTATGCATTTATTTTGTTATTCTTTTTCTTTAGATTGATGTTCATCATGAGCTTTACGGTAAGAAATAGTTCTTAAATTTATTATTACTTTTCGTTTCAATTTTTATTTAGATGGAAGCGAAACAAGAATTTCAATCGTAAGTTTAAAACCAATTCATCAACTATTTATTTGTTGTTTTTCTTCTTTTTCTATAGGTTGATGCTGATAAAGCGTTGAATGGTAAGACATAGTTCTTAAATTTATTATTACTTTTCATTTTTATGTTTTTTTAGATGGAAGCTAAAGAAATATTTGACTGGTCAGTTTATAACTATTTTATTAACTATTTTTTATTTTGTTATTCTCTTCCTATAGGTTGATGTTGATAAAGCGCTTGATGGTAAGATATAATACTTAAATTAATTATTACTTTTCTTTTTGTTGTCTTTATTCAGATAGAAGCTAAACGAAAATTTTATAGTAAGTTTATAACTAACTGATCAACTATTTATTTATTTTAGTGTTCTTTTTCTTTAGATTGATGTTTACAAAGTATTGAATGGTAAGAGATAGTTCTTAAATTTATTATTACTTTTCTATTTAAATTTTATTTAGATGGAAGCTAAAGAAACATTTTAAGGGTAAGTTCATAACTAATTGATCAGCTATTATTTATTTTATTATTCTTTCTGTTTAGGTTGATGGTCATAAAGCATTGAATGATACCATTTCATGCTAGGTGCCAACTATGGTTCTCATTAAGGTTGCTAAGAACAGACGATTGATAATTATTCCTGCTTCATGGTGTCAATTGATTAACTGTTAGATGGGAGCGTTCTAATAGCAACCAGGGAATTTTTGAATAGATGTGCTAGAATGGCTATGAGCACTCAGTTTTGCAATATATCTAACTGAGTGAACTATGGGGAAAAGTGTAAATAGCGCTTTTTGAAATAACGTAGCTCATCAGAAATTAATTAGGTGAATATGGTGATTAGTTAGGTTTCCAACGAAACCTTTATAGGACCGACAGAGTTGACGTCAGTATATGAAGGAACTTTTTTCCCTCCTGCTTGAACCCTTTTTTATGCAGGGAAAGGGAGTAAGAAATGAAACCATATTTTGTTTGAACCCAAGGGGGTAACAGCGAACTTCAAGACTTCAAGACTTCAAAGACTTTGAAAGACTTCAAGAGACTTTAACAAGGGAGACTTCAATTTTTCAAAAGACTACGAAAGACTTTCAAAGATTTAAGAAGACTTCGATAGACTTTAAAAGATTTCAAAGAATTCAGAAGACTTGAGTAGACTTCAACAGACTACAAGAGACTTTAAGAGACCTCAATGGACTTCAAAAGACTTCGCAGATTTTAGAAGACTTTATAAATTCCAAAAGATTTCAAAAGCCTTCACAGACTTCAAAGACTTCAAGTGATTTCTAAAGACTTCACGAGAGTTCATGAGACTTCATAAGACTTCATTAGACTTCAGGCGTGAAGTCTCTGTTGTTTCCCCCTCGATTGTAACAGAATAATATCTGTGAAAATACGACATTTTCTTTAATTTTCTCGTGAAATATATGCATCCCTGAGATCCTAGAAGCAAGGGGTATACAACAGAGACTTCATGCATGAAGTCTCATGAAGTCTTGAAGCCTCTTGAAGTCTTGTGAAGTTTCACGAAGTCTGGTGAACTCTGGAGACAGTCTTGAAGTTTCTTGAAGTCCTATGAAGTCTCTAGTAGTCTTTGAAATTTCATCAAGTCTTAAGAAATCTCACGAAGTCTGATGAAATCTCCCGAAGTCTTGTGAAGTCTCATGAAATCTCATGAAGTCTTGTGAAGTCTCATGAAGTCTTCTAGAATTTCTAGGGATGCATATATTTCACGAGAAAATCAAAGAAAATGTCGTATTTCCACAGATATTATTCTGTTACAGACGAGGGCGAAACAACAGAGACTTCAGGCCTGAGGTCTAATGAAGTCTCATAAAGTCTCTTAAAATCTCATGAAGTTTTATGAAATCGTATGAAGTCTTGCGAAGTCTCTTGAAGTCTTGTGAAGTCTCATGAAGTCTTTAGAAATCTCTTGAGGTCTTTGAAATCTCTTGAAGTCTATGAAGTTTTTTGAAATCTTATGAAGTCTCTTGAAGTCTATGAAGTCTCTTGAAATCTATGAAGTCCATTGAAGTCTCTTGAAGTCTTGTGAAGTCTCTTGAAGTCTCTTGAAGTCTTTCGAAGTCTTTGAAGTCCTGAAGTCTTGAAGTCCGCTGTTACCCCTTTGCCTAGAAGACATCATGAGACTTCGTGAGATTTCATGAGACTTCACGAGAGTTCATGAGACTTCGCCAGACTTCAACAGACTTCGTGAAACTTCACAAGACTTCAAGACATCCTGAGACTTCATGCAAGAAGTCTCTGTTGTATACCACTTGTTTGAACCTTAAAAGGTTCTGAAAATGGTACCGAAATCTAGAACCTTTTAAGGTTCAGTATTCGATGTTGTTTTTTTACAGAGTAGGATTACACTCGGATTACGCTCGGACTACAATAGAATTACACTAGGATCACATCAGGATTGCACTAGGATTACACTAGGATTACACCACGATTACACTAAGATTACATCAGGATTACACTCGGACTACAATAGAATTACACTAGGATTACATCAAAATTACACCAAAATTACACTAGGATTACACTCGGATTACATCAGGACTTGGCTAGGATTATATCAGGATTACACTTGGATTACATCAGGAATATGCAAGGATTACACTCGGTTTACACTAGGAGCACATTAGGACTTCCTTAGGATTACATCAGGATTACACTCGGATTACCGTAGGATTGCACTAGGATTTCACTCGTATTACATTAGGACTTCACTAGGATTACAATAAGATTACACTAGGATTCTACTAAGCATCCATTCGGAAAGTCTAGGAGCAATCGTAGTAGAAAGCCTACGAACTATCTTAGTAGAAAGCCTAAGACAATCGTAGATGAAAGCCTAGGAGCAATCCTAGGTGAAAACATAGGAACAATCCTAGTAGAAAGCGTACAAGCAATCCTAGTAGAAAGCTTAGGAACCATCCTGGTAGAAAGCGTAGGAGCAGTCCTAGTAGAAATACATAAAATGAGTCGCTTTCCATGAGTTTTGAAATGTATGTGTGAGACAAAGTCTCACCTGTGTATATAAAGTGTGTCCCGCAAAACAAATCGGTGAATGGATACTGCACCAAGATTTTAAATGAGATTTTGAATTTCAATTTTGCTGTCTTTAAGTATAAAAGCAGAAGAAACTAACTGTTTTCTTCATTGATGATGGTTTCGACTGATTCCTCAGGATAGAAATCCGTTTACTTGTCGATGTCGAAACTATAATTTTTACCGAAATACGTTTATGAGAAAAAGTTTATCTTATTAGATGTGTATCATATTTCTGCAAACAGATTTTAAACAGTATTTGTATACGAGACACATATAACCTGTAATGTAATCAAAGAAACTGAACTTTCAGTAATAATCTTTAAGAATTGTATAACAAACTAACAATATTTTCGAACAAAATACTTGCAACATATACTTCTTCTAAGAATTATGTATCAGTTGATTTTCGTCAAGACTCAGATTTAGCGAACTTCGAAAATTTACGTCACTTTACAACTTGCAACAGATATTCATAAGGAAATGTTGTAATATAAAGACATCTATCGATTGCTTATGGTATATCTTATTTCTTTCTATATGAAAGAATATATTTTGTTTTAATATTAAATTAATTTAATTGTAATGACACATCTTTTCAATTGTTAAATAGATCTCTTCAAGATCACACGCTTCTACAATAAATGATACTTGTGTTAAAATAGCCCTCGATATATATCCTTTATATCGTTTTTTTCTATAAAAGCACTATTACTTTAAAATCGAAGGCATTAACAACTAGACAAATAGTCATATCTACAGTTTCTTTTTCTTGTAATTAGGTAAAGATTGATGGGTAATTCATACAGGATGGCTTACAACTGTATTATTTATTTTAGGTATGGCTCGAAAGAAAATTCGTGGTCAGAAGTTATCGGAAGAAAAAGAAAATGTGAAAGAGAAAAGTAAGTTTTTTTTACTACTTTTATAATAATATGATACTTATTTTTAGATTATGTACAAGAGAACAATCTACCTTTCACGATTCCAAGTAATCCACTCATGACAATAAATAATTTTTCTCCAGTTAGTTCACCAACAAAAGAAGACAAAACTTATTCATTTGATACTTGTTCGAATGAAAACAAAATGATACACCAATCTTGTATAATGTTTCAAATAAAACCGATGGAATTGATGGAAATTGTGAACATGCAAATACAGGTATATGTGATTTAATAAGTCTGAATCTTTTTCCAACAATCTACGACTTATTTCTGTTCGGGTGTTCAAGTTGTTACAAGTCAAAAACGAAAGCGTGAAGAATCTTTTGATTTAATTCTTGATGAAAACAATAGTGATGTATTCATTCGATTAAAGAAAAAATGTTTAGATCTCGAGAAAAGAGTTG